GTTATCCGACACTCGAAAAAAATGGCTCTAGCAGTAATCACCTCGGCGCGTAAACTCCGACCATATTTTCAATCCCACACTGTCGAGGTACTGACAAACTACCCTCTCCGAACAGTCATGCAGAACACCAACCAATCCGGCCATTTGTCCAAATGGACAATCGAGCTAAGCGAGCACGAGGTCGTGTTCAAAAGCTGCCCCGCCGCCAAGTCCCAAGTCCTGGCTGATTTTATCATCGAGCTGTCAAAAGACCTCGAAGAAGAACTCACCCGAGAACTAGTGATTCCTCACGGGAATTGGGATACTCCACATGGACGGCTCCGCCACTAACCAAGGTTCGGGGGCCGGCGTGCAACTCTAGTCCCCGACAGGCGAACTCATCAGGCAATCGTTCAGTTTCGGTTTCCCGGCATCAAACAACGAGGCTGAGTACAAATCCATACTCGCAGGTCTCCAACTGGCAAAAGCGGTCAATGCGAAGCGCCTCAGCGCTTATTCCGACTCGCAGCTAGTGACGAGCCAGTTTAGCGGAGAATACGATATTCGGAACGAACGTATGAACGCTTATCTCCACCTGGTCAAAACCATGTCTCCGGAGTTCGAATTTTTCGAACTAACGAAGGTTCCACGGGGAGAAAACATCTGCGCCGACGCTCTCACCGCTTTAGGAAGCACAATACGCGACCAGGTAAAACGCACGATTCCAATACATAGAATCGAAGAACCGAGTACTGACCCGACTGTTGGCAACCCAGTAGCGGCTGTACGAACACGCGCATCCGCACGGGCTGCAGAAGAGTTTCCCATGGAAGAGGCACACGACGATGACTCGGACCCATTGGTCCCCGCGAGCAAAACAGAAGACATGAGTACTGATTGGCGAACTGAGCTACTCGACTTCCTTCGGAACAGGATATTACCTATCGAGAAATGGAAAGCACGGCGAATCAAGGCAAGGAGCACGAACTACATGATCATTGACGACCGCTTACACTGCGTCGCTGCAAATAGAATCTTACTCAAGTGCATACACGGCAACGAGACGAGGCTCGTCATGGTCGAGACACACGAGGGCGCGGCGGGAAACCATTACGGCGGTCGAGCCCTCGCGCTCAAAATCAAAAACCTCAGATTCTGTTGGCCAACAATCAGCGACATGCACCGACTATACATTCCCCAACCAAGATGCTCCGCACCATGTCCGCCCCGTACCCGTTCATGTGCTGGGGAATGGACATCATCGGTCCTATGCCGAGCTCCCGGCAACGACGTTTCATCTTGGTCCTGACCGATTACTTCACTAAATGGATCGAAGCCGAGGCCTATACCAAGATTACTGACAAGGAGGTTCAACGATTTGTCTGGAAGAATATCATCTGCCGCCACGGCTTGCCCTACAAAATCGTGACGGATAACGGCTCTCAGTTCATTTCTCAACATTTCCGCTCATTCTGCGACAAATGGCAAATCCGCCTCAACACGTCGACTCCGCGCTACCCGCAGAGTAACGGTCAGGCCGAGTCATCCAATAAAACCATTATCGACGGAATCAAGAAACGACTCGACCTAAAAAAAAGGTTGATGGGAAGACGAGTTGGACGGGGTACTATGGTCCAACCGAACGACACCCCGCAGTGCAACTAAAGCTACTCCTTTCTCCCTGGCTTACGGAGTCGAGGCAATGGCACCAGCCGAAGTCAACGTCGCTAGCCTACGACGCAGTAAGATGCCACAGAACGACGATCTTAACCAGACAATGTTATTCGACGCCCTTGACGCAATCGAGGAAAAGCGGGACAAGGCCCTCCTCCGCATACAAAACTATCAGCATCAGATCGAGAGTTACTATAACAAGAAAATTCGTGCCCGACCCCTCGGTTTAGGTGACCTTGTCCTACGTAAAGTTTTTGAGAACACCAAGGAGCCGAATGCCGGCGAACTCGGAGCCAATTGAGAAGGATCGTACAAGATCGTTAAAGTTATCAAGCCCGGCGTCTACCGACTGGAAACTTCAGCAGGGAAAGAGGTATCACGAGCATGGAACTCCATGCACCTCCGTCGCTACCACTACGCGTGACCGCTTTCTCAAGTTGCTAAAAAAAAAAAACACTGAGTAGATGACTGCCCAAGTCATCTCCACTACTGATACCCGAGTCGATGCGTCGACATCCACTTCCACTCACCGAGTAGATGCACTACCCAAGTCACTTCTACTCGGCCCACGAACTACAAACGACTTGATCCTCCCCCGAGGTACGTAGGCAGCCCAACCGGGTTCAGCTGTAATCCCAAAACATTACCCCGAATGAGCCCACCCTCGGTGACCGCTCCAACTCACCGGGTTGAACCTCTTTCATCCGAAACCCCAGTGATGTTCGCGCCCTCATTAAGATGATTGACGGACTGCACACGAACACTCACTCCAAAGCGTCAGTACGTCCTGATCAGACGGGCTCGACGTGCTTTATTCGGACGGAAACATTTATTTTCGGATTTGTAATTGTACCCGAGTAAGGGAACGGCCACCCGGATGCTCAGCGGAACAATTTTACGACTTGTCGAACACCTTAAACGTTAATAACCAAAAAAAACTACTCTCAACTATCAGTTCGGAGAGAAATAGATTCGAAATTATTAGTTTATGGAGAAATAGGTTTAGAATTTTTAAATCATGTATATTTAGCACGAGGTCATAGTTTGATGGGGATCTAGTGCTATATCATAGTTCTCGTGGAGAAATAGATCGTCAATCCTTCATTTAATTAACAACTAAGTTTATCACTAAAGCAACGAAATCCATCTACCACAACTAGTCATCCGAGACTAGTTCTCTCTATACTAAGATTTCTCCCTTGAGTCTTTTTAAAGATCTTCAGAGAATAAAAAAAGTTTATCCCTTTGTACATAAAACATTCGTCTACACTTAAACATACCATCCTAAATATACCTTTGATCAAAGTAAACCTTCTTAGCAGTTGTACCCACTATATGATATTCCTCAGAGTGAGTTTATCTCTGCAAAGCTCAAGTGCTCATGCAAGAAGAATCACTTACTACACTGATTCTAGTGGCTACACTGATTCTAGTGGCAATGACCACACCACGGATCCGTATCTAGATTGCAGAAATCTTTTCAGTCTTCCTCATCATCGTTACCAAATACCTTTAAACCAAAATCACAAAAGTCCATAAAAATAGACCATAGCATAAATGTTTCATCAAACTAAAAATTGAAAAGTAAATATACCATATACCTTTGATTCGACGAAATTCAAAATCTATATAAGATAAATGTCAATCAAAATAAAAAATCCATAGATCAAAGATACCTTTTCGAAACATAGCTGAGGGAGAGAGACGTGATGAGTGACGGTGAGATGATGACGGTAAGAGATGAGTGACCCCGAAGATGATGATGAGATAATTAACGCCGGGGATGTGAGAAATCGTCGTCATCAGAGATGTGAAAAACCGTCAACATCGTGATTTCAATTTTTTTAAAGACTATTAATTAGACAAAGAGAGGTATACTATGGTAAATGATCATATTAAAAAAAAAAATCTATTTTTGTGATTTTGGATCTTGAATGCTAGTTTGAGGACAAAAATTTGGGTTGATGTTATTTTGGGCTTTTATTCATTGTAAAAAACATGGAAATAGATATGTTTTTGCAACTTTAAATTTAACGCATGAAAATACCTTAGATATATCTATGAATTGTAAAACTTTAACCCATGTAATAGCAAATTTGTTATTTTAAAATTTTATTTATTTATCATAACTGCAATTTTGAAACGCTTACATAGATATCGAAATTATCTTTGTAATGGTATATAAACAGCATAATTTGATTATGTATATAAAAGATATGAAAATCCTAATTTACAAATTCTTTAAAACATATAAATGGTAAATGGAATGGCCATATGTAAACTCATATTTAAAGGGTTTTTCTGAGTTTAAAATCCAATTATAATGTTTTTCTTTTTGTGGGTTTGGCTTAAAATGGGCAGTTTTCGCGAAATGAACTGGACTTGATAATTTTACCCTTGTAAAATGGCTTCACATTTCGGACTGTTTCAGTTATATTAATCAGAATAGACTCAGTTTGGACTGATTACATCCCTTAACGTTCTGCTACAGCTCGTTTTACTCCGGTGTACTGCCAGTGGTGGAGGAAATCCTTTCCATACTTTCACTATTGTTGGGACTGCAGTGGCGGAGCTAGCCTTTGATTTTATAGGGGTCATAAAAAAAATTATTATAGCTAAAAAGGCATGTCTGAGGTTTGAACTCATGACATAGGGGGTCTAAAGGAGGCATTTTAACCACTACACCATAACAGTTATATGTGAAATAGGCCTAAAAATTAAATTTCATAGATTTCATAGGGGTCAAGTGACCCCCTCCCTTTAACGTGGCTCCGCCACTTGGGAGGATCGATTAGAAATGTTGAACCATTGCCACACCATAGGTGGTGATAATGCATATAATATTGTTGCTTCATGTTCTAAGAGACGCAAGCGATTTTGTGAGGACCTAGGACAATGAGAATAATATAGGCTGTTGTCTGGCGAAGGTATTATCAGACAATAATGAAGAAGATGATAGCCTCACCCATTGCTTAAGTGCTGGGAGTTAAGAAGAAGTAGTACAATAGTAGAGGAGATGCTTCTGAATCTCTTGGTGAAAAAAAAGTAGACGTAAGGGGGATAAAAACGATTCAAGCCCTCATCAAAAGCTTTACTTGGTAAGAGCTGAGGGAGATGAAGCTGTACCACCACCCAAAATAGAGCAAGCGAATGAAGAAACTTATAAAACGGAAAGCAAAGCAGGTAAACAAGTGGTTCTGAGCCCCAATTATGAGTTAACATCCACATTACTCTAGGAGATGGAACTCAGTGACAAGATTGTTTGTTTCCCTGAGTGAAATGAATACAGGAATATCAAAAACTAATCTCATCTTTGTGATATTTTGCTTTAGTATTTTTTTTTTTTTCCTTGCTTTAGTATCTTCTGAGGACTAGTTTGCTATTACATATCATAGTTTTTGTCCTCCTCAAATGAAGTGTAAATCATATATAAACCAAGAAAAGTACATCTATTAAAAGCTATTCATGGTTACATTAGGAACTATAATCTCAGATGCAGAAAACAAAACATGTTCACCTTAGGACCAAGATAAACAAACTTTTACTAATATGTAAGCACAACAGAATTGTCTACATACATAGTGTATTAAATCGACAAATTCATATACTTGATCTCAACAATGGAGGATAACCATATAAGAAAAAAAAACAGAGTGCGTGAGCATCATCATTCAGCTTTGGTTGTTCTTGGTATGTGGTTGCCGCCAGTTGCAATCTTGTACAGGTAGAAACAGGTCATGAGACCACTGCAAAATAACATATATATCGTTTTGTCAGATTATAACCAAAGTCAATAATTACTCATCTAATGTTTTGTATAGAAAATGACCTGATCCCAGAAACCAAACCAGCCGGCATGATCTTTTGAGTTTTCAAGTACCGTTGTCCCATGACGAATGTGAGACCAGAAGCAATGACTGTATTATAAATCAAACAAACACAAACCCCACGTAAGATCTCGAGATCCAAATGGGAAAACGACCAGATTTGATGCAAGGACAAGAACAGGTTGAATTATTACAAACCTGTCTGAAGAACGACAGCGAAAAGAGGAGACTTCTTCTTCTTCTCGAAAGCCTTAAGGGTGATGAAACCAGCGAGGAGGACGAGGAATCCAGTGCCTGCACCTCCAGCGAGAGATGCAATGCTTCCTTTCTTGAAATAACCCATGGATCCCCCGACCATCAGGAGCATCCCGTACGGGATAGTGAAGCAGAAATCGTGCATCTTCGTCTTCTTCTTGATGTGGAATGTCGCGGAGACTGTTTGGTTTCCTTGTCCGAACGATTAATGGAGATTTTATAACGAAGGGAGTGTGGTGGATAGCGCGTGGAAGAAGTCCGCTTCGGCGTTTTCTTCGTCAACGGATCTCTAGAAGTAGGAATAATCAAACTACTCCCACTTATTTAGATCCACGTGATCTGATGAAACTTCCATTATACCCTCATTCTTAACCATATTTTTAATGTGATTAAGGAATGTTTTTATAAGGTTAATAATCGCATAAGATAAGCTTATTTATTACATATAGTGCTTTCATGCACCACATACAGAGGAAGATTAAACTTTTGATAGAAAACTCTTTTCTTAATCTTATCGGTTTATCTTGAACTAATCTAACTATAAAATCTATAATCAGTTATTTTAAATCATTATATCAACAAATTAAGTTCGTTTTGCTTTAACCTCAAAAGTCACCAATAATAAATTGATTGCACAAATCGATAATATACTAGATTTTGACCCACGCAACCGCGCGGGTGTTTGTTTTCGTTTATACTTAGTTATATAAACATTTTGTTTTCACTTGTAAATTGGTATATATTATAATAATCACATATTTACAATATGTATAATAAATGTTTTTCAAACATAATAATATTATATAATACATGTTTTAATCAAATAGATCGTTTCAAATTTTCTATATTATACATGTTTTTCAAATATGTGTTTGTTTCTTCTTCTATATTTTATTGTTTGTTAGATTAATATTTCATTTTTAGATAAAGTAATATAGAGCTTGATTAAATATTAGTATACTTTAATTTGCAAAGATAATATAAACTTTGAAGAAATTTTTGCTAAAAACTAAACTTATAGATTCATAAATTAATATTATAAAGAATTTTGTAAATAATTTTTTTTTTAAAACAATATAATTTTAAAAATTTACATCAAAATAAATTTATCTAGTGTATATAGCGTGTAAATTTTGTTAGGGTATATAAATATTCCATATTACAAATCTTTGATTTTTGTTAATATATTGTGGATGCATTTAACTATTATTGACATATTTCATTATGAATAATAGAAGATTCTTAAACTTATATCTATTGACATATTTTGTGTGACTAAGTTGGAAGGTGTGGGGTAATTTACCCAAACCAAATTGTTAAGCGTATTTTTGTTATTATAGATATGATTTTTCATAAGATATAATAATGATAAGAATATTAGAGAGTTAATGTAATATGACTTTCTAGTAATAGTCCATTTTTAAAAAAAATCACACATGAAGTCAAGTGATGACTTCTGTTTTAATATATAAGACTAGATCTCGACCCGCACAACCGTGCGGGTTTTCTTTTTATTTATAATTTATAAAAAAAATTATCAATAAATAATAATATATTTACTTATAAAATCGTGCAAAATACTAAAATAATAGATGTTAAAGTATCATTTTAAACACAACAAAACAATATAAATTATCACTAACAAATATTTATCTATAGTGTATCTAAATAAATTTTAAAATGTATTGTATGCAAATTCCAGAAATTAAAACTCTATATTAAAGAAGATTATAATTTAATTATTTTAAATTATAATTTATGTATCAAACTCAAAAATATATTATTTAGTAATAAAAATCAATAAGAATATAAATTAAAATATATAAAACAAATTACTATATATTAATAATGAAGAATAAAAAACTTAAACAACTAAATTATAGAGTTATATAATATATAACATTAAATGTAAATCATACATTTAATTTTTTTTATAATACTATCAAAGTGTTATATTTATAAAAAGAAAAAATTGTGTGGGTTAAACTCTCATATATAGTTTTTTATTTAGGATTTAGGAATATC